CGAGTGGGGCTGAAGCCCACAGGCTCTGCTGGGGTCGGGGTGCTGCCGAGGCAGCCCGTGGGCTCTGTCGGGGCACCGCTACAGATCCGAGGTATCGGTGTTCCCGCATTAGCCCGGCTGGGCAGGAACTGGGTTTGAGGCTCCTCTCTCTCTTTCTCCCCGCCGACTGAACGGGGAGTCTGCATCGACTGGAATCAGCCGCTGGAAGCTCCGGGTAGGTGGTATGAGTCCAGGCCTCTGTGCCATCCCAGCGTGCTGAACAGCGAGTAGTTAACACTGCTTCAGCCTGACTCGCAGGTAAGAACACCGTGAAACCAGCACACCGCTACAGCTCCTGTCCCTCTGCTGCTCTTCAGAGCATCTTAGTCCTTCTTGGTAACATGTCCCTTCCCCGTTTGTCCCTGGGTTATGTCATGCAAACAGCTGAGGCTTTAAAAAATGAAGCACATTACTTAAGCAGTTAAATACAAGGCTGCCATTGAAACTGGCAGTGTTGGCTTTTAAAAGGAAGCAGACAAGTGTATAAACGTTGAGCCTCCTCTGGTAGGAGCTGGGACATAATGTTAGAATGACTTCTGTGCATGTATTTCTTTGAAACAGATTCAATACCGGTGGAACAAAAATGAGAAATAACTTGGGTGTGCAAATACATTAACCAAGTTTGTCCTACAGTTACTTGACCATAGTGTCATTAAATCCTCCTTGTGGAAGGAGGTATTTTGCTCTACCCGATGAGTGCACTGGCAGCATCTCAGTGCTGTAACTGTGACTGCAGGAGGAGAATGAGGAATTAAAAAGTATATTGAATGAGGCACTGTCAAGTGAGTCTGTATAAAACAGGTGGCCGAGTTTCTCTTGCCCAGTTGATCTCACATCCTAGTTGTTTACAAAAGACTGTTTTGGGAGGGCATAGAGATTGGGATGGCTGTCAGCAATCACAGCAGTGGAAGCTGGGTATTATTATGCAGGGGTGAATCACCTTTCTCATCTTAGTACCACAATCCTGTTATGTTATGTAGTCCCAGAATGCCAGTGCTGTTTGTGGAGGACGATTATAGAGGGGCAGAACAGCTCTGGTCTGTTATGAGATGATGCTGGCTTGCTTTGAGGGGGACTTCCAGCCTTGTGTCTCAGGCAGTGGCTGAAATGAAGGCCCTCATTAAGCAGGCACTGAAGCCTGTGACTGTAAGATGTGGTGTGTTGCGCTCTGGCTTGAGATCTGGCTCTAGTGAAATGGTCATTGCTTGTCTTCAGCCCATGTGGTGTCAAGAGCATGGGAACTGTACTGAAGTGGCTGGTGGTGTGGACTGTGATGGAGCTGCCTTGAGTGCTAGCTAAAGCGTAGGAGTTAATATCCACACTGAGGAAAAGCTTTGTGGATGAGATCTGTGGCCTGTGTCCAATGTAACTCTGTCCCTTGCTGTGCTATTTCAGCGCATTCTAAAAACCAAAAGGATGGATTTTGGGTCAGAATGTTACAGTCTCCATGTTGGGACAGACTGCAGGGGGCCATACCTCAGAAGTCTTAAAATATATGCCAAAGTCACCTGAACAGTGAATAGGAATTTGATTTTGGGCAGGCTAGAAAGCTGTTTTAAGGTATATCTGTGCTGTCAAAAAAAAAAGTCTTTATTATGTCTTACTTTTTTTTCAGTGTCAGGAGAGAGGGCTGTCAGGTATGTGTAGTTTCCAAGGCAGTTTGTAGAAAGCTGAAATAAGATATGTGACCCAGAACATCAGTTCCTATCACTACTACAAAAGTACACACAGGGTCATGCTGTGTTTGGTGGCAGTCACCTGCCAGGTTCAGGAAGCACCAGTTCCCAGTGTGCATAACAAACAAGGTGCCCAGGGGCAGCTTGTTCCTGATCCTGGTGCTTTGTTATCACCAACTTAACAATGAAAACATCCTTGGTAATAGCCAAAGGCCTTAATAGCATAAATTATGTTTTTTCTGCCAATCCTATCAAACTGTCAACTGCATGTCTTAGTTAAATGTTGCA